CTTGCGTTTTGCCTTTAACATTGCTTTTGTTGTAATTTTAAATGCATTAATGCAATAATGCATTTATGCGAAACTCCACTCCTCTTAAACATATAAATAATTTGTTTTGCTCACATGTAATCTTTCTCTTACTCTCTTTCACACCTTTATTTTGCAATTTTTTTTCTATCTTTTTTTTTCTTTTCATTATATTCTTTTTTTTTTTAACTACATTAAACTTTTCTAATTCGTAAATATGGTTTTTGAAATGAATGAAATAAATTCTATCACTATGTCACTTGACTTTACTAATAATATGTCGTTTGAGTTAACCAAAAAGAAAACAACTGATAATATGTCTTTTGAGTTAATGGAAAGAGAAATAGCTAATAATGTGTCTGTCAAACAAATGAACTTTGAACCAAATAACTCTACTTTAAAAACATTTGAAACAGCAAGAGAATGTCGTAATCGTCTAGCTAGAGAAAGTTATGCTAGAAAAATGGTCTACGAAATCAACTCTTCAGTAATTGAGAATTCTGAAAGTTCATGTGAATGCAAAAACCAGCTTGAAAGAGAGGCATATGCACGCCGTAAAACAACTCTTAGCAAACAGCAAATCTTACACTGACATACACAAAATCAAGCTAACTATGCACAACGACTAACATCTGAAACTACAGAAAGTGCAGAAAACAAAAGAGCAAAGCATCTAAAAGTAAACCACCATGCTTTTAATATGGCCCATATGAAACAAAATGATAGCACTACTGTTAATGTGCATGATTTGGGTTATATGAATATTGAGTGCATATACTGTAGCGCTTTGCACTGAAAAGATGAAAAGGTTTCTGGAACATTAAAAAAAACCAGTCTTTAGTACATGTTGTGCAAAGAGTAAGATGCATTTGCAACCAGTAGCACCAACACCTCCTATTCTGCAGTCTTTGTTAACCGAAAATACTATGCGCGCACACAATTTTCGGCAAAAAATCTGTATATATAATTCAGTTCTTGTGTTTACTTCAATAGATACAAACATCAATGATCAAGTTACTGGAAGTAGTGGGGTATACCCTTTTCGAATTCATGAAGAAATGTATAACCGAATTAGGTTGCTTTTACCAGAAGATACCACTAAGCCCAAGTTTTGTCAAATTTATTTGTATAATACTGAAGAACAGCAGCTACATATGCAGTATATTATGCCAGATTTAGATTCTTCTGTATTAGCCAAACTTCAATCAATGCTTCATGATGTAAATCTATATATTAATGTTTTCTGACAAGCAGCACAATTGTTACGTAAAAATCCTGCACAAGAACTAAAAATGGCAATAATTAAGGTACATGATGAATGACAATATGCCATTCCTATCTCTTCAGAAGTTGCAGTGTTTATAGTTGGTAATGGTGATGATCCTGAACCTTTAGACCACAATATAATTCTTCATAAACAAGGAGGAGGTTTGCAACAAATTTCTCAGATCCATTTGTCTTATTTCGTATTGCATTATGTGCTACTTTTTTTACATGGTGAGCCTGGATAGCATCTGGCTATCCCTATGCGTAATATATTAGACGAATCTCAAAACAACGGTGCTGCAGATTTGAGTAATTCTGAAGACTATGGTGAAGAAGAAAGTTCAAAATGTGTGACGATAATGCAGTACTATATATATTGTTTGCAAATTCATAGATATACACCACTAGAATTATTCTTTCTGAACAGATCCGGTCATCTGTTTCAACAATTTATTGTAGACAGTTATGCGTTCATTGAACAAAATCAGCTTAACTATATAAAGGCTAATCAAGAAAAAATAAGAGTAGAATTATATGATAGATTACAAGATGTACTTACAACTAATGATAAGGCACTACAAGATTTTTCACATATCGAAAAAAAAATTATTCTTCCGTCTAGCTTCGTTGGTGGACCATGTCATATACACCAACTTTACTAGGACACTATGACCATCATTAGACAAGCAGAAAAGCCTGATTTGTTTATTACAATGACGTGCAATCTGAAATGGGCGGAAATTCAAACTGCTTTATTACCCGGACAGAGTGCATATGATCATCCTGACTTTGTGCACATGTTTTTAATATGAAGCTAAATGCTTTGCTTGATGATATATTAAAGAAAGGGATCTTCAGTAAAACAACAGCACATATTTATGTTATTGAAGCACAAAAGCATAGTTTTTTGCATGCGCACATATTAAAAATGCTTGCAGATGAAGACAAACCACGTACTACAGATAACTTTGACCTTATTGTATCGGCAGAGATATCTAACTTGGATAAGTATTCAAATGAATATACGACTGTGTTTAAATATATAATGCATGGGCCCTGTAGTATAACAAATATAAAGGCACCATATATGCAAAACAGAAAATATTCAAAAGGATATCCTAAACCATTTCAATCTGTTTTCTGTGAAATGAAGATGGGTATCCTATTTATCACTAACGTACTGATTGTCACACTATAAAAGTTAAAGGCATTCAACTTGACAACCGTTGGGTTGTACCACACAATTTATACCTTTGTAAAAAGTATAATTGTCATATTAACGTTGAGATTTGCTTTTCTATTCAGGCTGTAAAATATCTGTTCAAATATGTTTACAAAGGTCATGATCGTAAGACTGTAGTAATTAGCAACAACAATGCAGATACTAGCTTAATTAGCAACAACAATGCAGATACTAGCTCAAACTAAACTGAAATAGTAGATGAAATTCGACAATACATTGATGCTCGCTACATATTAGCATCAGAGTCGTTCTGGTGTATTATGTACTGCAAAATGCATAATAAGACACCTGACGTAATTCAGTTGAGTGTTCACTTACCCAATCAATATTAAGTACTGTTTTCAGCTAACCAACCCCTGAATATGATTATACAAAACTCAAACAATCAGAAAACAACCCTAACAGCATGGTTTCAAGCTAATAGAGACCCTTCTCTATCAGATCTGGCCAAAGAGTTTATATATGCACAATTTCTACACAGGTTCATTTTTGATAAGCAATCAAAAAAGTAAAAATTGCGTAAATGTGGAAATGCTATTGGGCGTCTTTATTTTGTGCATCTGGGTGCGGGTGAGCATTATTATCTGCATATGCTCCTTAATATAGTTCGTGGAGCAGAATTGTTCAAACATCTATGCACTATAAATAATATTGAATATGCAATATTCAAAGATGCATATTGTGCAATGAATCTACTTCAGGATGACTTGGAATGGGATCAATGTCTTAATAAAGCATCAAATATACAAACTGGACAACAATTACACTTTTGTTTGTGACCATCTTAGTTAATTGTCATCCAATAGAACCTGAGCGCCTCTGGACAAAATACAAAATTGTATTTAGTGATGACATATTATATCATGCACAAAGGCAAACTCAAATCAATATCTACAACTTACAGAAGATGAAATTGAGAATCATGCATTATGTTTACTAAATGATATATTAACGCAACAGAGAAAATCTTTAAAAGATTTTCCTAATACGCCAATTCCTACTGCAGTTAACGAAATAGAAAATTTCTTAATAGCCAAAGAGTTAGACTATAATCAAGAAATACTTACTGAATTTGTTGATTAAAATGAAATACTTTTGAATAGTGATCAACAAGATATATATAATAATATCTTACAGGCTGTTGAGCAAAATGACTCTGTGTATTTTTTCATAGATGGACTAGCTGGCACTGGAAAAACCTTTCTCTATTCTATTTTGTTAACGAAGGTGCGCTCTCAAAAGAAACTTGCATTGGCTGTTGCTTTCTTCAGAATTGCCACATTGTTATTTAATGGTCGAACAGCACACTCACGTTTCAAAATTCCCTTAAATCCTGATGAAGATTCAACATGCAACATTGTAATACAAACAGATCTTGCTGAACTTATTAGATAAACAACACTAATTGTCTGGGATGAAGCACCAATGATGCATTGGTATGCATTTGAAGCTGTGGACTATACTTTGCAAGATATCATGAGTAATAATGAACCATTCGGTAGTAAAGTTATTGTATTTGGCAGCGATTTTAGACAAGTTCTTCTAGTAGTTCCTAGAAGCAGACAAGAAGATGTTATTAATGCATGTCTGTGTTAGTCGTGTCTGTAGCAATATATTAAAGTGAAAATACTAACAGTTAATATACGATTAAGAAGAACAGGCAGTTCTCTGATACTGACGCACAAAAAGAATTCGCTAAATAGCTACTAAAACTTGGAGAAGGATGCATTCCTAAAATTCTACCTAATAGTAGTTTTATTTAATTGTAATTAGAAACTATACTTAATAGTGACAGTTCTTGGAGATTAATTGATTTTGTGTATCTAGAACTACAGACTCGATCTCAAGATGCTGCTTATTTACTTGAGAGAAGAATTCTTGCTTCAAGAAATGATGAAGTCGATAAACTGAATTTGGAAGTACTTGAACAATTTCCTGATGCAGAGACAACATATTATAGTGCAAATTCTCTAGATCAAAATTCTGAAATATACAATCCTAACCAGGAACAACTCTATCTAACTGAGTTTTTTAACTCATTAAAATTCAGCAGTCTACTACCTCATGTATTGACACTTAAAGTTGGTGCTCCTATTATACTGCTACAGAACATCAATGCAGCTGAAGGCCTTTGCAATGGAACAAGGTTAATTATCAAAGCACTTCAGAAACATGTTATCGAAGCTGAACCTCTAAGTGGGCCTTTAACTAGAAAAAGAGTTTTTTTACCCTGTATCATGTTGACTCCCAGCAATACACCATTGCTATTTGTTTTTAAATGTCGCCAATTTCTGTATCAACTTGCCTTTGTAATGTCTATTCACAAATCTTAAAGGCAAACTATAAATTGACTTGGTCTTTACATTCTGACTCCTGTCTTTTTACATGGGCAACTATATGTCGCATGCTCAAGAGTAACTTCATCCCAAAGGCTTCATATCTTCCTTGGCAGACAGAACTTCCAGAATATACTAAGAATATTGTATATCATGAAGTTCTTCAGTTATAATTTACGTAAGATGTCTTGAATCAAAGTATCTATAAAAAAATATCAAAACTGAAAATTTACTAACTTATTTTCTTAACAACAATTAATTACACAAAAATGATTTAGTACTAAATGAAAGTTTGATCTTCCTTTAAAAAAAATAATATATTTTATATTAGATAAAATATTTTAAAATCTGTATATATTACTTATGTCATAAATAAAATAACCAAAATCAAAGATAGTAAAAAAAAAAGTTATTTTTTTCTAAATTCGTTAAAAGTTTTATTTGCTGCTACAGTACATATTTTTTGTATAATGTATTGATATTAGTATATCATTCAATTTGCAGATCGAAGCTTATATTGCTGCTCAATTGCACAAAATGCAAAATTAGAGAATATTGTTTAAAAATATTATTAAATATTTTACTCTCATTAAATATTTACTTAAACAAGACACTTTATATTTGCATGTAGTTTCTAATCATGTAAATAGTTTTATAGCTTGGCATATGGTTTAAAATTTAAAATTATAGCTCCGGATGTTATAATTAATGTATAATAATACTGTAAAGCTAGCAAAAACTTTTATAATAGCGGTACAATAATCATGTGCCAATAAGTTATGTTGCAACTTAAATGTAATTTTTGCAATTTTCTACTCTACCTGCTATAGGAAAACTTTAACAATGCCAGGGCGTAGGATCAATTTTCTGAACACGTGATTTCCGAGCCAAAACTAGCCAATGAGAAGTCACGATCATGTGTACTGTAAAAAAAATTAAAACAAACACTCTTTTAACGAAATCGAGAATATTTCAGAATTTTATCTAATTAACCACCTTTTGTGTCCTAAATAAAAAATTTCCTTGCATGATTTTACTATTAAAACAACCTCTATAGCTTTAAAATGAACTTCCATCAAACTAAAACCTTAACGTAAACAAAAATTCTAAGTTTTCTGAAAGCATCACGTGTTCGGAAAATCGATCTTACGCCCTGTCAATCTGGGAAAACTTTCGTATTATTTATACAATTTAATTGGTAATTCACCAGTTAGCCAGTGAGAGATCATAGTGTAATGTGACGTGGTTTACTTTAGTCAGAGAATATACCAAATTAGGAAATTTTTTATTTAGGACACAAAAGGTGGTT